CATTGACTTAGGATGTCCACATGACCCACTTCTGGCCCAGAGTTGTAGGAGTAACTGTGCTAAAGATTTTTGAGAAAGTTATCTTTGCTTCCAAAAAATACACAAGGAAGAGAGAATCACTTCTTCTTTTGAACATTGATGAGCCTGAATATTTTACCTTGGCCTGCTGTACTCATTTTGTGACTAAGCAAGGACCAGTCAAAGCCAACGTCTTAAGGATGGTCAAATGTACCAATGGAAAGGGTCTGGATCTTTGGTAATGTTGAGCTGCTGAATTAACCAAACCTGAAATTGCCAGGCCAGTTAACATTTCTTGTATGAAATAATAAAATGTCCTTGATGTTTAAGCCAACATAATAAAATAAAATAAAATCAGGTCATTTCAGAGTTGTTTTATGTAATGAGATGTTTCAGGGTTTTTCACACATGTACACTAAAAAGGTCCTAGTTAGAGTCTGTGTTCTTGTTTATCATTCCTGTATATTCATCATCTACCATATACTTTGTGTATATTCTGGATTTCTTCAGATATATATGTTGAGCTCTGCTAGCGTAGTAGTTATGAGTTGGGCTGCTAACCTCAAGGACAGTAGTTCAAAACTACCAGTCATTCCACAGAAAAAACGATGAAGCTTTCTGTTTCCATAAAGCTCTACAGCCTCGGAAACCCTGTGTAGGGTCACTGTGAGTCAGAACTGACTCCACAGCACACCACCACCCACTGTATGTTGACTTGAAACATGATCAAATAATTCTGTTTCTGTCAATTAGTGTAGTCTAAAGTAATTGTTTTACAAGTGGTGACTTGGTGTTTTTATATCTATTATATACTACATACTAATAAGTTGTACAGTGTTAAAACAGAAGTGACTGAAGCACTGTGGCTCCGTAGGATATGCACTGGGCTGTGAACCACAAGGCCAGTGGTTTAAGCCCACCGGCCACTCCATGGGAGAATGATGAAGATTTTTTTTTTTTTTTTTCCTGCAGGTAGCGGAAATGAATATAAACTCTATCCTGAACTTTCCAGTTATCGTGAGGGTGTTGGTAAGTAAAACTGTCTATATTTTAAAAATAATTTATATCTATGTTAAAAATCACAAACTTTCTAATTAATCTGATTTGTTGTTGTTGTTACGTTCTGTCAAGTCAGTTCTGACCCATAGCAACCCTCCAAGTATATAAAAATCTCTGGGAAAAAATGTTCAGTACCTCTTCTTTGAGTTACAGGATATTCAAATTATTTTTAATAGTATTTCATGAAAAAAAAAATACTATCCTTTTGTGTCTTGTTAAGTGCTGTTCAGTCCACTCTGACTCACAGTGACCCTATGAGTATAGATTTTCCAAGGAATGAGGAGTAAGTGGTGGGTTTGAACCACCAGCCTTGGGTTAGCAGTCCAGTACATATCGTACAGTGCCACACCAGGACTCTTTTTTTTTTTTGCAATAAGTCAGCTTGATATGGAAGCTTAAGGAATAGAGTTAAGGGTCACTTGAGCCAGGCAGAGCTCAGGGACTAAATGCTATTTATTCCTGAGATGTCAGCATGTAAATAAGAGGTTGATGCTCACCTGATCTTTTCAAAACTAGTTGTTTAGAAACGTGTAAGTATCAAAAGGGAATAGAAAAGTTTGTTCAGTTTAAATTATAACTTAATTCTTAATGTAATTTTTCCCTAGATTTTTGCCTCATGAACTTTATATGTTTAAGGAATGGTTTTATTTTATTTTATATGTTCAAATGTTTTAATTCTTGTTGGAAACTGATCTATAAAACTTATTAGGATTTCCTTTAATAGTGATACTCTTTTTAACCTAGCTGATTCCAAAATCCTTTAAAAAATGTTTTTTGGAAAAAACACAAGCAAACAAGAAATTGTTTAGCAACATAAGTGGGACATACATTGAGCAGAGGTAAGGCAAGAGTATGATAATATATGCATTTCTTTCACATGTATTTATGCCACTGGAATTGTAATGCTTACAGTACTGGATTTATAAACATGTTGGAGAATTAACCATTCCATTAAATTAGACATCAAAATATAAGGTACACAAATACTTTTTCAGAATTCTATCAGGAAGATAAAAATATTTTGAAACATAAACAGAATCCACTGAGCAGAAGTCAGTCTTTTTTTGATGAATTTAAGTTTCCATCTGTTTTCTTTCTTACTTAGAGCTCTGGCTTCTGCAGTCATTGAGATTACTTCTGGCAATCTTTTCCCTGATGATTCTCTTCTGAGGGGACCTGAAAAGTCCAAAGGCTAGAGTGTGTATACACAGTTGTTGTATAACACAAATATCACAAGTGGATATCTTTAACACACAGTAATTTATTCTGACTTAGTTTAGAAATCCAAATTCAGAGTGTCAGCTGTAGGAAAGGTTTTTACTTTCTTTCAATTCTGGAGGAAATTCCTGTCTCCGTTCAATATCTGTGGGCCTAGCATTTCTTGAAGACCTCCGTGTGCCTTGTCATCAATCAATATTCCTTTTTTTCTAGGAGGTACTCAACACAGGGATACTGAATTCAAAGGACACAGTCTGCTCCCAGATCTTATTTCTTGATGATAATCAGGTCTCTCTTCTCAACTTGCTTCCCTTTCCTTTCAATTCTATTAAGGGTCTGACTCAAGCAGGGATGTGAATTGAGTAAGGATGTGACTCATAATTGAGTAAGGTGGTAACATGAATAAGGGTGGAATTTAAGTCATGTCCTCTTGTAAGTATGTGACTCTGTGTACAGTTCACCCTTAATACAGCTGCCTCCTTAATATATGTTGTTGTTGTTAAGTGCCATCCAATCTGTTCCAACTCGTAACGACCTTATACACAACGGACCGGAACACTGCTCAGTCCTATGCCAACCTCACAATCACTGCTACACTTTAGCCTATTGCTACTGCCACTGTGCCAATCCATCTCATTGAGAGTTTCCCTCTTTTTTGATGACCCTTCACTTTCCCAAGCATGATATCCTTCTCCAAGAACTGGTCCCTCCTGATAATATGTCCACAGTATGAGAGATGAAGTCTGGCCATCTTGGTTTCTAAGGAGCATTCTGATTGTACTTCTTCCAACACAGGTTTGTTTGTTCTTCTAGCAGTCCATGGTACTTTCAATATTCTTCTCCAATAGGGTAACTCAAATGCATCAATTATTCTATAGTCTTTCTTCATTTTTCAACTTTCATATGCATATGAGGCTATTAAAAATACTGTGACTTGGGTCAGACACACCTAAATCCTCAGACTGATATCTTTGCTCTTGAACACTTTAAAGAGGTCTTGTGCAGCAGATTTGCCTAATGCCATACATGTTTGATTTCTTAACTGCTACTTTAAAGTGTTGAAGAGCAAATATGACAGCTTGAGGACTAAGGTGCGCCTGCCCCAAGCCATGGTCTTTTCAATAATTTTATATGCATGCAAAAGCTGGACAGTGAATAAGGAAGACCATAGAAGAATTGATACTTTTGAGTTATGGTGTTGGAGGAGAATATTGAAAGTGCCATGGGCTACCAAAGGAACAAACAGATCTGTGTTGGAAGAAGTGCAGCCAGGATGGCCAAACTTCATCTTTCATACTTCAGACATATTGTCAGGAGGGACCGGTCACTGGAGAAGGATATCATGTTTGGTAGGGTGAAGAGTCAGAGAAAAAGAGGAAGACCCCTAACGAGATGGATTGACAAAGTGGCAGCATCAATAGGCTCAAGCGTGGTATTGTGAGGTTGGCCCCGGATTGGACAGTGTTTTGTTCTTTTGTGCATAGGGTCGCTATGAATTGGTACTGACTCGATAGCACTTAACAACAACAACAGCAACTTTCATGAGTGTTGATAATAGATCCAAGCAAAATGGAGTCTTAGGCAACTTCAATCTTTTCTCCATTTACCCTGATGTTATTTGTTGCTACAATGGTGAGTATTTTTGTTTTCTTTACATTTAGGTACATCTCATAATAAAAGCTGTGGTCTTTAATCTTCATCATAAGTATTTTAAGTCCTTTTTATTTTCAGCAACCAAGCTTGTATCATCTGCACAGTACAGGTTATTAGTCAGTCTTCTTCCAATCTTGATTCATATTCTTCTACATATAATCCATTTTCTCAGATTTATACAGATTAAGCAAGTATGATGAAAGAATGCAACCCAAGCACACACCATTCCTTATTTGAAACCTCAGTGTCTCCTTGTTCTGTCTGATTGATTGCCTCATAGTCTATGGACAGTTTCTCATGAGCATAAGTGTTCCAGAATGCTCATTCTCTGCAGTGTTGTGTATAGCTTGTCATGATCCACTCACTCAACAGCTTTTACATAGTTAGGAAAGCACAGGTAAACATCTTTCTGGCAATCTCTGCTTTTAGCCAATATCCATCTGACTTCAGCAATGATACCCCTTGTTCCACATCCTCGCCTGAATCAGTCTTTAACCCCTGACAATTTCCTGTCAATGTACAGTTATTGTGTTATCTTTAGCAAATTTTTTACTTATATTATGATATTAATGATACTGTCCCATGATTTCCACATTCCTGTTGGGTCTATATTAACATATAGATGCTAGGATTTATAACTCATATCACAGAATATGGGATAATTATATCAGATCACAAATTGGAAGACAACCACACATTACTGTGGATCATAGCATACCCAAGTTGAGACATGTTTTGCAGGGACATAATTCAACCCATGAGAGGCCTCAACTATGGAACAAATTTGCTCTTATGGTCTAAACCATACTGGAATTCGTGAGAAAACTCTGTGAGGATTTTTATCTATCTATCTATCTATCTATCTATCTATCTATCTATCTATCTATCTATCTATCTATCACTCTTTGTGGGTTAAGACCAAATTAAGATTATTAAGATTGTCAAAAGTTTGGCATTAGGGTGCATGTTTTTTAGGTAGCATAGAAACCTAAACTTTTATATTACTCAGTTCTTGGTTTTCTTGTTGTTTTTTTTTAATGTTAAAGATTGTGTGGGGTAGATTTAGCTTGGAATTGACTAGATGACACTGTTTTTTGTTTTGTTTTTTAAATTATTTTATCTAATAATTAAGGAGTATCTGGGCTGCTAACTAAAAGGGTAGAGGTTCTAATCCATCCAGAGTCTCCTTTGGAAGAAAAGCCTAGACATTAACTAGCTATAGCTCATAAACATCATTGTATTTTTAAATCTCTTTGAAATCAGTTAAATTTTACAAGGACTCTTCTGTATCCTGGCAGATTATCCTTGCCAGAGAAAAGTCTCAATGTGCGCAAGATTGACCCTTACTTAAACTGAAAACTCTTTTAAGAAGACCACTATGCTAGCTTTTAAACTTGCTATATACTCAGAAGCAATCCCTGATTTTACACATGGACTGCCATCCATAATGATAATCCTCTAAATGGTGTCTACTTTCCTCCCACTGATCTTTTGTTTGATATCACTAGGAAGGTCCAGCTAAGTGGTACTTGTGCCTCTCAGTGAGACAAAGCTTATACTTGTTAGTGCCTTCAAGAGCCCACTGACCCTTCCTCTGTGAGTTCTTGAAGGAATCATTTTCCAGAACTGAAAGCCAGTCTGTACCTTCAATATGGTTACATTTATTCCCTACGTATTAATCCAAAGTCTGATTTTCCATTATAGGATTCTTCAACCTTGGCATTATTGACATTTTGGGCCAGTTTATTCTTTATTATGGGTACCAGACTTATGCATTGTAGGATAAACTAGTAATAACCTTCCCCCAAAATGCGATAACCAAATATCAGCAGAGATTGCTTTGCTGAGTAAAACTGTTCCCAGTTGAGAACCAGTAGTCTATATTAGCTCATGTGAGATCTTGCTAATTCATCATAGATCCTCATACACTCACAATAACATTGTTATCCCAAACCTGTAGACCCCCTTCTCTGAAGAATTGGCATGGAAGCACATAAAACGGGGGAAATTAAGTGTTCCGAATCAGAGTGACCACTGAAATGGTGGTGGTGGTATGTCACCAAGTCAGTTCCGACTCATAGCGGCCCTATACAGGGTTT